TTCTCCTAAGTCCTGCGTTTTCTGGAATGCTCTTTTTTTCTCTTTATGATATGTGTATTTGCTGAAGCTTTAAGCCTTGTGTGAATCCTACCTTCTTAAAACGAGTCCTGGTGTGGTGCTATAGGATAAGAATTCAACCACACTGCCAGTTTGAACTGCAAAGTCAGTGGTTCAAACTCAGCAGCTGCTCCTTGGGCACTCTATACAGGGTCGCTATAAGTTAGAACAGACTTGACAGTACTTAACAACAACAAACCTTCTTAAAAAAGTCCCCTTGCTGGAGGTCATGCCTTCTCCTTTCATGTTTCTGTATGCTGTTTGAAGCACTCTGAAGGTAGCTGCTGCCATTTGCTCTTTGTGTGTGCATGTCTGCCCTGCGGCCTGGCAACCGTAGAAGGGAAGGTGTCTTCTATACATCCCTTTGCAGAGCCAAACTCTGAGCAGCGTTCATTTGATGTAACACAGTGGCCATCTTGGGTATGTGTTTCCTTTACTCTAACTTGTCAGGTCTTCATTTGGCTTTTAGATCTTTGAACTGAGTGTCCAAGTGGGCTGCAAGAATGCTGCTGGTCCCTCTGCCCCAGGAGCCCCAGGACTTTGCCCTGCTACTGCCAGGCCACTGTTCTTCCTGCCACTTCCTCAATGACTTCTTTGTGTGTGTGTGTGTGTGTGTTTGTGAACTGAGTGAAGATTTTTACATACAAGATCATCAGTTTTTCTGTCAGCAAATAATATACTTAATTTCATCTCAATGATTGCAGTCCTTTCCGTGGAACAACAATCATCCACTTACTCCCTGTAGCTCCTATTTCACTCCCACCCACCTTCCCATCCCTTCTTGCCATTGTCCTTAGGTATGTGTTGCTCCTTTGAGTCTTAATAAGTGACCATTCCATCATTTATAGTTGTTGTTCCCCTTATGTATGTATCTACTGCTTGGCTAAAAGATGATGAGTTCCTTTCCAGACCTGAAGTATGGTTGAGGGCCACAGTCTCAGGTTCCTCAAGTCTCTTTCTGACCAGTAAGCCCTGTCTTTAAAAAAAAAAAATTATGTATGTATGTGTATATATCTATTATATATACACACACACACACACACACACACACACACACATATATATAAGCTTCGTTCCACACATTATGCTGCTCTGTCTAGGACCTTCTAATGTGATCCTATTCAGAGCAGTTGGTAGTAGTAGCTGGGCACCATCTAGTTCTTCTGGTCTCAGAATCCTGGAGAATCATATTCACATGTTCCATTAGTCCATTGGACTAGCTGATTCCAAGTATCTTCAGTTCTCACAACACTTCTTTCTTCTGCAAATGGAGAGGCCAATAATTGCACCTTAGATGACCACTCATGAACTTTAAGTATCCTAGGTATTACTTACCGAAGTAGGATGTAGAACATTGTTTTTGTGGACTATGTTGTGCCAATTGACCAGGGTGTCCTGCTATTGTCTTAAGACATTTGAAAGTATCTAAGAAGTTTTCATTATTTTGTCCGCTGCATGCATCACCATATCCTTAGTTGTGTTTGCAGGAAAGGTAAATACTCAAGTACCAATATCCTCTTTCTCATTCTTGTATATCTGTGGGACATATAGTTGTACACATACATACTCAATGACCTCTTAACCCTTTGGTTCCACAGAGCTGCGGTGCAACCCTGGGCAGTTTGCCTGTCGCAGTGGAGCCATCCAGTGCATCCCCCTCCCTTGGCAGTGTGACGGTTGGGCGACGTGTGAGGACGAGAGTGATGAAGCTGACTGTCCAGGTGAGTCAGTGGCGTAGGCAGCACAAATACACTCTTGTTTTCAACTGAGTAGGGATTTGCATCCTAGTAGTGGAGCATTGTTTACAGGCATTGAGAAGTTATTGTGGTCAGACAGTCTCCAACCCACACCTTCCTTCCTCCTCCTCTCCCACCCTCCCTCCGTCTTCTCTGCCTTTGTCTTTTTGTTTAAATAAGGAGCCCTGGTAGTGCTGTGGGTTAGGCATTGGGCCGCTAACTGCAAGGTTAGGAGTTCAAACCTACCAGCTGCTCTGTAAGAGAACAGTGAGACTGGGGCTGCTTCTGGAAAGATTTACCATATCAGAGACCCTATATAGAATCGCTAGGAGTAGCAACAATTGTGAGGTTGGCCCAGGACCAGGCAGTGTTTTGTTCTTATGCCTATGAGTTGGTACTGACTCGATGGCACCTAACAGCAACAACAGCATGAATTAGAAACAGCTCCATGGCAGTAGATTTGCTGTTTTGTTTAAGTGGGCCCTAGATACAGGAGGTCCTAGTAGTTGCAAGATGGTAGAACTGATGTGAAGCAAGGAAGGTGCTGAAGACCCAGGAGGAACCTTGGATGACCCTGACTTTCACACAACTCTGAGAGCGAGCACTTCTGTAAATGTTGTCCCATGAGTGCCTTTCTTGCCTCACACCAGGCCTGGAGACTTGACCAACATCATGAAGAGTGTACAGAAGTACTACCCCTCTGCTCTCACTCACTAGTAATCTACCGCATGTAGGTTTTCTCCTGGTGGATGGAGATACATGGAGTTGGTACAGAAACAACTTCTGTTTCTGACTCAACATCCTCAAATATGAGAGTAAGGCAAAGAATATTGCTACAAGATCATAGAAACATTTATTATTCAACAATATCAGAATGGGACACTCCTATTTTAAACATATCCTCCATCTTGGTCTATACACTAATACTCCAAGGAATTCTGCACTCTTTGTTTCTTTTCCATGTTTTTTGAGTTTAAGAAACAAAAGAAGTCTGAAGGGGTAAGATCAGTGCTATAGGATAAATGGGGTAAGGTTTTCCAATAAAATTCTTACAGGACAGCCTTTGCTGCCCTAGAAGAATGAGCAGATAGATACATTGTCATGATAGAAAAAAATTCCTCAGCATTACTTTTCTGGCATTTTGCTTAAAATTTTCTGGCCTTTTCTTAAAATTTTTTCCTTAGCTCCCATGATCGTCCTGTGTCCTTCAAAGAGATCTATCAAGATTACCTACCCCTTTGATTAGCCCCAAAATAAAAATTGCTCTACTTTCTGAACTGACCTTTCTGGGAAAGCACCGTACCGTTTTCCAGATTGGTTGTACCATTTTACAATCCCACCAGCAACGTAAGGAGGGTCCCAGTCTCTCCACACCCTCGCTAGCATTTGTTGTTTTTTTAACTTTGTAATTAATGCTGGAGTAAGATGATATCTCACTGTTGTTTTGATTTGCATCGCTCTGGTTGCTAATGTGGGAGAAAGATGAGGCTTTCTGTTCCTTTGAAGATTCAAAGCCTTGGAATCCCTCTACAGGGTCACTATGAGTTGGCACTGACTTCATGACACTTAACAGCAACAACAAAGTAGCTAATTATCAGGAGCATTTCCTCACTGGTTTGTTGGCTTCCAGAATTTTCTCTTTGATGATGTGTCTGTTCATATCCTCTGCCCACTTTTTAATTGGACTATTTGTCTTTTTATTGAGGTGGTAAAGTATTGTATAAATTTTAAAGTAAAGTTTCTTGTCTGAAATGTCATTACCAAAAATGTTTTCCTAGTCTGTAGGTTCTTTTTTAACTCTTTTGAGGAAATCTTCAGATGTACCTTAAGTGTCTAACTTTGAGTCGGTCTCAGATGTCTATTTTATTTTCTGCCACTTGTGTATTGTCAGCTATGTTTGATAGTGTATATATGCCATATATCAGAGTCCTTAAATTTGTTCCTTTTTTTTTTTTTTTTTTTTAACTTATCAGCTGCTCCTTGGAGATCCTACACAGGCTCACTATGAGTCAGAACCTACTCAAATGCATTTAACAACAGGGTCGTCTAGTATGACCTCATTTCAAGATCTTTAACTTCATCTTCAAAGACCCTTTTCCAAATAAGGTAGCAATCACAGGTTCCAGGAATTTAGGCATCTATTTATCTTTTGGGGCCCTCCATTAAGCCATGGTTCTTCTTCTAAGTATCAGGTTCTCTTCTAGGTACATTCTTTAGATATATCATCTCAACTTTAAATTTCAGAAATTTGTGTTCTAAGCATAGCTCTGCCACCAATTACCTGTGTTATCTTGGTAAGTCATTTCACCTGCTGGGTCCCAGTTTCCTCATTTGTAGGTTTTACCTTTCAATGATTCTAGGCAGAGGGCACTATTCAATAGTTCTCAATGTTAATGGTGTCTCTTGAAATGTGCAGTGTGCTCATACTCCGCTGCTCTGTGTCCTGTACTGACAAGAAACTACCATTGCTGCTTGTCGCCCCTTGTCCCACCTGTTTCTCTCCAGACTCTCAGTCCCCACCACTGGCCCAGATGTGACCTGGAAATTTTTATTTTGATTTAATGCTTTTATTCTCTTGTGTTTCTGGCAACACAAACCCAAGATCATGTGATAAATCTTGGATTGTATTTCTATAGCAAGGAAACTACGTTTATATATTTTTCTTTTAATAATAACCAGCACAGCTTCCAGTAAAACTGTATCATAATAAGGATGATAGATAATATCTAATTTTTCTGTTAAAGGAATGAAAATTACAGAGTTAATGTTGTTGTTGTGTGCCTCATAAGATTTCCTAAGCTGTAATCTTTTTTTTTCAAACTTTATTGTGAATTGAGTGAAAGTTTACAGATCAGATCATCAGTTTTGCATTCAACCAATCATATATGAAAGTGAGTTAAAAGTTATCCACCCCTCCACGTCCTTGACTGAAGACAACATTAAGCATGCATGTGAAACGATTCTGTCGAATAGACGAGTGACAGTGGATTATGTGGCAAATCATTTGCACATCAGCCATGGCTCTTTAGATGAAATAATTCATGACAGATTTGGGTTTCGAAAAGTTTGTGTGAGATAGATTCTGAAACAACTCACAGAAAAGCATAAACAGAAGCATTTGGACAAGTGCAAGCAAAATTTGGACCAATATTTGAAAGAAGATAAAAGTTTCTTCAAAAAAAAAAATTACTGGTGAGGAGACCTGGATTCATCACTACAGACCTGAGAGTAAACGGCAGAGTGTAGAAAGGAAACATCCTCAGTCGCTAATGAAGGTAAAGTTCAAAAGTGAACTATCAGCTAGAAAATTGATTCTTACAGTTTTCAGGGATTCTCAAGGACCAGTATTTCAACACTATCAGGAAAAGGTTCAACAACCAACAGTACTCATTACAGTAAGAGGCTCACTGAAGAACTGAAGCCTAAATTTGGGATTAAACGCAAAGGACTGCTATTAAAGGACCATCCCCACACCTCTGCCCTTAATGTTGACATTCTGCAAACACGTCATTTTCAGGTATTAAAGCATCCTCCCTGTAGTCTTCATCTTGTTCTATTGGACATTCATTCAGCTGTTTGGTTCCCTAAAACTAACCCTTCAAAGGCAGAGATTCAGCTCTGATGAAGATGTGAAGACAGCAGTGCATTTGTGGCTCGCATCTCAGCCTAAAACATTTTTTAGTAAGGGAATACAAAAGCTTGTTGATGGATGGACAAAGTGTATTGAAAAGCGAGGAGATTGTCAAAAAGCGATGTATTTCATCTTTTCTAAAAGTTGATTAAAATAAATTCTACAGCCAGAATACAGATCGTTTTTGACTCACCCTTGTATTTTAAGTCCTCTTTGCTTTCAGCAAGCAAGGTTGTATTATGTGCATATCGTACATTATTAATGAGTCTTGCTCCTATCTTGATTCCATGTTCTTCCTATAATCCAGTTTCTCAGATTATTTGTTCAGTATACAGATTGAATAAGTATGGTGAAAGAATACAATCTTGTCACACACCTTTTCTTACTTTAAACCAGTCAATGTCTCCTTGGTCTGTTCAAATGACTGCCTCTTGGTTTATGTACAGGTTCGTCATGAACATAATTTAACATTCTGGAATGTTCATTCTCTACAGTGTTGTCCATAGCTTGTTAAGATCCACACAATCGAAAGTCTTTGCATAGTCAATACAGCAGAGGTAAACATTCTGTGATTTCAGCCAAGATCCATCTGATGTCAACATGATATCCCTTGTTCCACGTTCTTGGCTGAATATGGCTTTAACCTCTGGTGGTTTCCCATCAGTGTATGTCAAATTTCATGGCATAGATGAATGAGCACCTCCAATACCACCTCAGTTTGTTGAAATATTTCAGTTTGTATTCCATCAAATCCCGGAGCTTTTTGGTACAGAGACTCTATTCCGCCCATCTTTTTTTGGTGCTTTCTGCATCATTCAATACTTTGCCCGTAGAATCCTTTAATATTGCCAAGTCGAGGCTTGAATTTTTTCTTCAGTTATATCAGCTTGAGATTTTTAACTCCAGGTCTTTGTATATTTCCTTATAATATTTGACTTTGTCTTGAGCTGCCCTTTGAAATTTTTATCAGTTTAGCTCTTTTACCTCCTCATTTCTTCGGTTTACTTTAGCATCTCTATACTGGAAAGCAAGTTTTAGAGTCTCTTCTGACTTTAATATTGGTCTTTTCCTTCTTTCTTTTCTTATTAATAGCCTTTTGCTTTGCTAAATCTTTCTGATATTCTTTTTTTATTTTGTTGTGCAGGTGTATTTATTTTCTTTGAGGTTACCCTGTAATTTATTATTATTTTTCCCTATTTAAAGGAGTCTGTTTTTCTTTATATCTACTTGACTTCCTAGCCATTTGGAAGTTCTCTATCCTTGTTTTTACATTGTAGTTGATTATCTCTGGTTTTCCTATTTTTATTCTTATAGGTTTGTTTTACTTTTAATATGTCTTTTAATACTTTTTAAT